TATTAGTTTTGTGCATATATTCTAGGCTACTTTTGTGCGTATCGTTCAGCAGTTCAAAGTGTTTGCTTGTTGACAACTGCTGGAGGGTTTTTCTCCCTTTCCCAGAATAGCTCTTCCAATGAAGACATCCCGAAGATTTATTTGGGAAGGTTGAGACTCTGGAAAGAGTGTAGAGAAGAGCAACAAGGATGATTGGGGGCCTGGAGGCTAAAACATATGAAGCATGGTTGCTGGAATTGGGTATGTCCGCTTTAATGAAAAGAAGGACTAGGGGAGACCTGATAGTCTTCCAGTATCTCAGGGGCTGCCCCAAAGAAGAGGGAGTCAAGCTATTCTCCAAAGCCCCTGAAGGCAGGACAAGAAGCAACGGATGGAAACTAACCAAGGAGAGAAGCAACCTAGAACTAAGGAGAAACTTCCTGAGAGTGAGAACAATTAACCAGTGGAACAACTTGCCTCCAGAAGTTGTGAATGCTCCAACACTGGAGGTTTTAAAGAAGAGACTGGACAGCTATTTGTCTGACATGGTATAGGGTCCCCTGCTTGAACGGGGCTGGACTAGAAGACCTCCGAGGTCCTTTCCAACTCTTGTTATTCTGTGTTTTCAGACGTAGAATTATTCAGCAGCTGCTTGAAGTCCTGACAGATTTCAAGAGCTACCTTTGGTTAGTTTGATTATTATTATTATTACTATTATTATTACTTTAATTTATACCCCGCCCTTCTCCCGAGGGACTCAGGATGTTCTCATGTGCCACAAGTGTGATGTGCTCCTTCGGTCAAGTGATGAGTGACAGGTTGCATGCCTGAAAAAGAATCCATTAGCTGACTTGGTAGGGACTCGTCTGAATGATGGACGGGAACGCTGACAATGTAAACAATTAGCCATCATTAACCAATAACAGGAAGGCTGCAGATAAGAGGGTATCTCCTACTCCGAGGAGGCTGTGGTGTAAGATAGCAGGAATGGTTTGACTGGATATCTATTCCATCCTTCCATCCATCTTCTTTGAATGTTCCTCCCTCCCTCCCTTTTATCTTTCATTCCTTCCATTTATCCTTCGTTCCTTCCTCTTGGAATAAGCCATCTGTCCATCCATCCTCTTTGAATGTCCCTCCCCTCCCTCTTTGAATTTCCTTCCTTCCTTCCTTCCTTCCTTCCTTCCTTCCTTCCTTCCTTCCTTCCTTCCTTCCTTCCTTCCTTCCTTCCTTCCTTCCTTCCTTCCTTCTCAAATATTGAAGGATGGTGTCCCTCCACAGTTAAACAACCCATCCTTTCCAATTCTTCAGCGTCATGAGTTTTTTTCTCTCCAGTTCCTCCTCCCCCCACCCCACGTTGCAAATCCTGATTTATCCAAGGCTGGGATCAATTAAAAGCTCGTCAGGGTCCTACTGGGAGGAATTATTCTCCAATTTCTGGCACTTGTTCTATCTCCCAAGCAGAGCGCAGATATCTCTCAGCCTCCTATGAGAACTTTCTTTGCCCCCGCACCCCTTGTTTTCCCATCTCAAGGCATCCTTCCTCTCCCCGCCCCCGCCCCCCAAATTGTGCACTGCAAAATAATATGATTTTTCGGTGGGGGCTTTGTTGGAGAAGTTTTAATTGTTCGAATGTAGGGTGCTTTTGTCTCCCAATTTCAAGAGAGCAATTGTTGTTTTCTTTCTCTTTCGGATTGTCGTTTTGTGGAAGGATTTTTTATTTAAAAAATTTTGTGAAAACTCAGGGAGAGAGAGAGGGGAGAGAATGGATACAGGGAAGGAAGGAGAGAATGGATAGATAGAGGGGGAAGGAAGGAAGGAAGGAAGGAAAATATGGATGGAGGGAGGGAGAAAGAGAGAGAGTGAGAGAGAGAGGAGAATGGATAGAGGGAAGGAAGGAGAGAATGGATAGATAGAGGGGGAAGGAAGGAAAATATGGATGGATGGATGGAAAGAGAGAGAGAGAGAGAGAGAGAGAGAGACTGTGGATAGACTTTTCCAGCTCAAGATACGATGCAGCTACTATATTTGCCTTTTTTACTTCTTTATTTTTCTACAAAAAGGGAAAAAGAAAAGAAATAGGGAAATAAAGGACACGATTAAATGCTTTTTAGGAACTAATGGGCCCATCCCTTTGTGGGTTCTCACTAGACAAAGTCTCACAGTTGTCGGACCTTGGCAGCGGACAACATGCTTGTCTCTAGTGACAATGATAAATGGCGGTTTGTAAGATAGCCTGCGCTTATCTCTGGAGCTCGTCTGATAGGCCTTAAACCTCTCACCTGCAACAGCAGAGAGGAGATTCTGAGAGATGTAGCAAAAACACCCAGTGCAGGATTCTGCAAAATATTGTCAAGGGTGGCATCATAAAAAGTCTGCAAGATTGGGTAAACATCATGGCTTAATTCCTTCTGTGCCTGTTTTATTCCTCCCTCCCTCCGTAGCATCGTTCCTCTACTGCTCTCTCCCTCTTCAGAGTTCTCAATATATAAATTTTGGATTAATGGACGCTTCGGTATTAATCTATTTAAAGAAATATATATATATATATATTCATGTTGCCGTCCTTTGAGAGTTCTTCTCTTGACATTTTTCTTTATCTTCTCTCTCTTTTTCCTTCCCGTTTTCCAGAATCGGGGACGTTTGGCGGAGAAGAGAACGGTTCCCTTGCCCCCCTCCCGGACCCCGAAAAAGGAGCCCCCCACTCTTTTCTCACACAGCGACAACTTCAAGGAGGTTGAGAAGATCAACGGACACCACCCTCATGTCAAACAAGAAGAGGATTTGCATTTTAGTATCATGAAAAGAAGGTACGTGGGCGTTCTTTTATTTTTATTTTTCCCCGCCCCGAAACACAATTATGTAGGTAAGTCCTTGTTTTATGACCACTTGTCTTAACGATGGTTCAAAGTTAAGACAGCCTTGGGGAAAAAAGTCCTCGGGTTACAACTGTCGCAGCATTCTGCATAACGTGATTGCAATTTGGGCAATCAGCAACCAGATTATTATTATTATTATTATTATTTATTAAATTTATATCCCGCCCTTCTCCTTGCGGACTCAGGGCGGCTGACAATCGATTAAAAATACACAAATGACAATTACAGAATTAAAATTAATTAAGAAGAAATATTTAAATATAGTCCAATTAAAATATAATTCAAACCCCTCTAAAAATTACCCTAGGCCAGTCCCGCTTGTTGGAATAGCCATGTCTTGAGGGCGCGGCAGAAGGAAGGGAGATCAGGGATCACCCTGATCTCTGGGGGCAGTTCATTCCAGAGGGTGGGGGCTCCCACAGAGAAGGCCCTCCCCCTTGGGGTCGCCAGCCGGCACTGTCTGGCCGACGGCACCCTGAGGAGACCCACTCTGTGGGAGCGTACCGGCCGATGGGAGGTAATCTGCGGCAGGAGGCGGTCTCGAAGGTATCCGGGTCCGATGCCATGGAGCGCTTTGAAGATGATAGTCATCAAGTTGATGACAACTGCAAAGTCTTGCAGTCACGTGATCACGATTTGTGACTTTCTCACCCCGGTTTATGACACCCCCCCCCAAAAAAAAGCCTATTGGGAAAGCTGTGTCTCCTTAATGACCACCTAATGGGCATGATTCGTTTAACAACCACAGTAAAAATGATTGTAAAGTCAGGTCCGGTCACATGGCGGTTTGTTTAATCGATGCATTAATGCGCCCAGAATCCCAGTTGTGTTTTGTACATTTTGGAGCCTATTGTGTCGCACAAAGCTTCCACTTAATTTAAGTTAGAATTCAGGAATAGATAAATGTATTGGTGGCCTTGCAGGTCAGAACTACTGCGAGGTTGCAGCACGCTTAAGAAAAATGTGTGTGGTCTGAAGTTTTGACCGTAGCAGGAAAAAAGTCGTATTTTGTAACATGGAAATGGGACTTTTTGCAGCCCACAAGCCAGCGGTTAAGAGTTTTGAGGGGGGGGCTGGTAATGGGCTTGCTCCCCATTTCAGTCCTTAAAACCAAAATAAGACAATTTTATTTATTTATTTATTTGCAAACTTATTCTTCCCATCTCCAAGCCATCGTGTTGATTTTTTCCTGTGGGTCTTGAAAAGAACAAGGAGTTATCACTCCTAAACGCTGAAGTGGGATCCTTCCCCATTGCTTTAGAAACACAGGGGATCCTGTGACCCACCAGGGACCCAGCAACCGTCATAAATATGAGTCAGTTGCTAAGCATCTGAGTTTTGATCATGTGATCCCGGGGAAGGCTGCAACGGTCGTAAGCGCGGAAAAACAGTCATAAATCACTTTTTTTTTCAGTGCCGTCGTAGCTTTGAACTGTTGTAAGTCAAGGACTTACAGATCTCTTCTTGAAAAAAACCGCAGAGCCGCGATCTCAATTTTGATCAAAGTTGGGCTAAACCCCATCTAGATACTACCTCCAAGGTTTTGATGGGTGACCCCTGTCCCCTTTCCTTAAAAGTTTTTTGGGGGGGGCAATAATTCCAGCAAGCCCGTGAAAAAAAACTCCCATTGCTGTAAACTTGGGAGACGTTGCATATGCCAGTCACAAAGTTAGCCAGGCTGGCACCGAGGCTATGTGGGTAGAAACTGCCAAAAGAGAACGGGTGCCAGGAGATCCCGAGGCAAGGACGTGGGTTCAGCAACACATGAAAGGGAGTGTTGAGCGAGCACTTCCCAAAGCCAAAAAAGCAGATTAAAAAAGAGAGGTTGCCAGCTCTTTGGGTCCCTGACAAAATCAGGACCTGATGTTGGGCTGGAATTTCCCAGCCTGAGGTCTGAAAGAAGCCACAGGTGGCAAAGTGCCACGGGGATGTTCTGTGTTCCTGCACGCTCCTCCAGAGCCAGCTTAGAACCAGAATTAAAACCAAACAAGAAACATTCATTTGAGGATCTGGTGGACAGTTTGGAGACTGGATTTCCTCCCCTCCTTCTCTCTTTCTGCTTAGCTAGGAGGAAGAATTACGTGTAGGTCATCTTCTCGATATCTGGGAAACAACTTTAGCTTTGAGCAGGGGTCTTCAGACTTGGCCCTCTTCTGACTTGTGGACTTCATAAGAGGACTTGTGGACTTCAACTTCCAGAATTCTGGGAGTTGAAGACCACAAGTCGTCAAAGGGCCAAGTTTGAAGACCCCTGGCTTTAAGCCTTGTTGGACCGATCACGATTGATAGTGATTTCCCAGGGATATGGCTGAATTTTCCAGATCTGTAGATGACCTTGGTCAGTAATGGTCACAACGGAAGGGTGTGATTTAGGAAAGAGTTCTCCCAAGTGTTTCAGGACTTGGAAACCCATCTGAACAAAGTTGTGGACCCCACGATCAAGAAGCAAAGCCGTCGTGTTGAAAACAGGGCTAGTTTTTGAGTCAACCTTCTTTTTTGATCTCTCTTGTGGAACCCCTCAAGTCCCAGCAGGACCTACAGTGCGGTGGACCAGGTTTTCGAAAACCCTTCTTGAGGTTCCTTGTTTTTTCTTACCGGCTTTCCATAACTCTTATCCTCTTCTTCAGCCTGAAAGGCGTCCAAAATCGGTATCTTTGGATTGTGTTGTGCCACCTAAAAGGCCCAGAACTGAATCCATATGCGGTTGGGAAGCAGGTGTAGATGCCTCCTTATAAACATCAATCCTTTCTTGTGTCGCTGGTCATTGGGTCTAAGAAAGGGTAAATGAAAGAAGTGGGTCGATTAACCCAATGTTTGCGGTATTCTTGTTCGTTTCCTGAATTCCTGGTTTTTCCCCAACTGTAGGGATGGTGATGTTAACACTGGGCGCTATCTAACAAAATGAAATTCAGTAGTGAAAAAAGTAAGGTTCTACATTTAGGCAAGAAAAACCAAATGTACAGGTATAGTATAGGGGGTACCTTGCTCAATAGTAGTAACTGTGAGAGGGATGTCGGAGTCCTAGTGAACAATCCCTTAAATATGAGCCAGCCGTGTGCTGCAGCTGCCCAAAAAGGCCAACACAGTGCTAGGCTGCATTAACAGAGGGATAGAATCAAGATCACATGAAGTGTTAATACCACTTTGCAATGCCTTGGTAAGGCCACACTTGGAATACTGCATCCAGTTTTGGTCACCACGATGTAAAAAAGATGTTGAGACTCTAGAAAGAGTACAGAGAAGAGCAACAAAGAGGATTAGGGGACTGGAGGCTAAAACTTACAAGGAACGGTTGCTGGAATTGGGTATGTCTAGTTTAACAAAGAGAAGGACCAGGGGGGACAGGATAGCAATATTCCAGTATCTCAGGGGCTGCCCCAAAGAAGAGGGAGTCAAGCTATTCTCCAAAGCGCCTGAAGGCAGGACAAGAAGCAACGGATGGAAACTAACCAAGGAGAGAAGCAACTTAGAACTAAGGAGAAACTTCCTGACAGTGAGAACAATTAACCAGTGGAACAGCCTGCCTCCAGAAGCGGTGAATGCTCCAACACTGGAAGTTTTTAAGAAGAGACTGGACAGCCATTTGTCCGAAATGGTTTAGGGTTTCCTGCCTGAGCAGGGGGTTGGACTAGATGACCTCCAAGGTCCCTTCCAACTTTATTATTATTATTATTATTATTATTATTATTATTATTATTATCATCATCATCATCATCATCATCATCATCATCATCATCATCATCATCATTATTATTATTATTTTCTTAGCAGATCTTGGTTTTTTTTCCACCCTCGTCTCCTGCTGGAGGAGGAACTCTCAGCTATGAGGGTTGAAGGACCCATCTGGGTCACCTTATTAAACTCTTCGCCTCCGATTGTGCGTAAGAGGAGAAGCAGCGGAGAAGGTTAAAATGGAAGGGCGATGCCCCATCGCTTGCTTGGAAGGTCCCCTGCCTGCCTCCTTCTCTCTTTTAATTATTAGTAATTTATAAAGGAGACCTCTTTGCCCCCCCCTCACCCCACCTCCACAAGGCAGCCCGGGCTGCTTGATAGCTTGCAAATTATTAGTAATTTGATTTCAATTGAATGAATAACCTGCTACAGCGAGGCGCGGATTCGTCTCGGAAATCTAATTGGAGATAACGCCATAGAAACTTGAAAAATGCAGAGGGGGGGGAAGACTGGTTGAGCTTTTTTGCAGGGCTGGGGGAAGGAATATGCAAAGCTGCCCATGGGGGAAGGAGATAGAAAGTAATTGGGATTTAATTTTATTTCTTACCTATTCATTTGTTTAAAGAGGGGTGTTTAATTATCCAGCGCCGCGGAGGGCAACGGTTCCCAAGGGATGAGCGGGGGGGGTGGTTTTCCCCACTGGGTACAAAAAAAAAATGGGTTGGATGCCAATCTCGAAGGCTTTTGATGTCAAATCTTTCGCGGGGGGGGGAACAGTTTTGATCATTAAACAAGGTTTTACATTCATCTTTTGAAAGTGGGTGCCCTTTTTTAAAAAAATAATGGCTTCCCCCCCCTCTTCCAAGCGGTCCTCAATTTATGATCAAAACTGAGCTGTCAATAATAATAATAATAATAATAATAATAATAATAATAATAATAATAATAATAATAATAATAATAAAGTTGGAAGGGACCTTGGAGGTCATCTAGTCCAACCCCCTGCTCAGGCAGGAAACCCTACACCATTTGTAAGCGAAAAGGGGATCACACGACCCCGGGGCCCTGCAACCGTCATAAATACCAGTCAGTTGCCGAGCATCTGAATGTAGGGGGGTGCTGCAACGGTCGTAAGTGTGAAAAATGGTCATAAATCCCTTTTTTCCCATTGCTGTTGCAGCATTGAACAGTCACTAAACAAATGGCTGTAAGTTGAGGACTTACCTTCATTTCAGGCTTTCCGGTCAGGGAAGGGAAGG